GTTGCGATACATCTTGGTATTCAAGGAATACGGGCAGGTACTACATATGCACTAATCATCATTTGGGTCTCGCGCTACAATTAAACTCTGTTCGATTTTCTCAATGGATTTCAGCAAAGATTTCAGTACCCCAAATTTGTGCCATGTAAAGAAACAACAACACATTCCAAAACATTACACTAAAATTATTTTCAGCCATGTGTTTTCATACTAAGTAATTGAGGGTTTGTGTTTAACACTGAACTCGGGCGGATCTTGGCTGTCGTACGGCCCGACCTTTTAAACGCATTGAAAATAATCTGTTGTGAATTGGAGGGAGGAGCAGTAGCTCGGCTCTGATAGAATGCTCTTGTGTAAATGTAGCATATATATAACTTATGCACACTTCTCTCGTAGTCCCAGTTTTTTGAAAAAATCAAATAATAATTGTCGTCATAACAGGTGTTGAAAAACCTTAAAACGCATGCTCTGCTCGTCAAATCATGTGATATGTAAATTACGCAAATTTTTGACGTCATTGATATGTCAACCTCAACAGGTGATGCTCATAGCTTATTCCACAACAAGTTGTGACGACCCTGATTGAGTTGTTGATACCAGCATATAATGTTCAGGACATTATCCATGTGTTTGCCTTATCTGATATTTTTTAAAAATAGACACATAAAAAGAAAACAGGAGTCTGGTTGAAATTAAAATGTACTTTTTATCTCAGGAGTCTAGATCAAAACTGATACTTGTATTTTACTTTGTCATTAGTAAATACAGATATTCACTTCTTTATTAGTTTGAGTCTAGCTACAAGCTATTACTAATAATATTAATAATACAAACTTTATTGCCTCCATGTAAGAAGATTTACACATGATAAGTACAGCAAAAATAATTTTAAAAGAATTAGCACGTAACTAGTATTTGAATGTTAAATAAATCTTTTGTGTTGTGTAAATATAATTGGCAAGTTCTTGAATTGTATTTGTTATTTTTGTTTGAAAGTAGTATCATATTTTTTTGGATGAACATTTTACTGTTTGTGTTATATTTTGGGCAATTCAATAGAAATTTTCATCATCTTCAATTGAATTTGTAGAATTTGTCAAGTTCATTCAATTATGGCTCAAATATGCATTCTGTTTTAAATTTAGCATATGTTCTCAGTTTGCTATTTTCATTGAAAACTGGCATAATTATTTTCAAGGGAATTGTTTTTGATATTTACTTCTTTATCTATAGGAGGCTAGGTCAAAACTGATTTCCATGGCTGTATCCCGGAACTGAGAAGCCTAGATCAAAACTTATAATGTTTTTTTCATCTGAGGAGGTTAGGTCAAAACTTGTATTTATATATTATGTTTAAAAATTGGTATTTACTCTTTCATTTCCAGAAGGCTAGGTCAATACTGATGTTTATACCTTTTCATTTTACTTCTTCATCTGAAAAGCCTTGAGTAAAACTTGGTGTCTAGATCAAACATTCATTCCCAGGTTAAAAGTGATATTTACTCTTTCATTTCCAGGCATCTAGGTTAAAAATGATATTTACTCTTTCATTTCCAGTCATCTTGGTTAAAAGTGATATTTACTCTTTCATTCCCAGGCATCTAGGTTAAAAGTGATATTTACTCTTTCATTCCCAGGCATCTAGGTTAAAAGTGATATTTACTCTTTCATTTCCAGGCATCTAGATTAAAAGTGATATTTACTCTTTCATTCCCAGTCATCTTGGTTAAAAGTGATATTTACTCTTTCATTTCCAGGCATCTAGATTAAAAGTGATATTTACTCTTTCATTCCCAGTCATCTTGGTTAAAAGTGATATTTACTCTTTCATTTCCAGGCATCTAGGTTAAAAGTGATATTTACTCTTTCATTCCCAGGCATCTTGGTTAAAACTGATATTTACTCTTTCATTTCCAGGCATCTAGGTTAAAAGTGATATTTACTTCTTTATCTATAGGAGCCTAGGTCAAAACTGATATTTACTTTTTTCATTCCCAGGCATCTAGATTATCTAGATATTTAGTTCTCCATCTACAGAAGGCTAGGTCAAAACTGATATTTACTTCGTCATCTCCGGAAGGCTAGGTCAAAATTGATTTCCATGAGTATATTTAGGAACTGACATTTGCTTCCACATTTCCGGTAGTCATTGGTCAAAACTGATATTTACTTCTTCATTCCCACGAGTTTGGGTGAAAACTTATATACCCTTTTTCATTCCCAGGAATTTAAATGAAAAGTGAAAAAAATTGGGACTGTACGACTCAGGATCTGTCAAATGTACCAAAACCAACTGATAATTACTTGATTTCCATGAGTCTATTTCAAAACTTCTTCATTCCCAGGATCTAGGTTAAGACTGATCCACTTCTTCATTCTCGGGAGACTAGTTGGAACTAAATTTTACTTCTTTATCTCAGGAATCTGGATGGAAATTTAAATTCACTTCTTCATTTTCAGGCGTCAGGCGTTTCAGACAGTCATTGCTTCATACTAGGAGAAGAGGTAAAAACAAATACATTTACTTGAAATATATTTGTATATAATTTAGGTGACTGTGCCATGGCTGTTTGTGGAGGAATTAATTTAATATTATCACCAACGCTTTTCATCAGTTTGAGTCGTGCAAGAATGGCATCCGCAACTGGGAAATGTCAACCATTCTCTGCCGATGCTGATGGATATGCTCGTGGCGAAGGCTGTGGTGTTGTTGTACTCAAGCCTCTTCAAAAGGTGATCTCATTGCTTTGCTTTGATTCTGACAACAGTCTAATGATGAAAAAAACTTTACATGCATTAAAAAAAGAAAAGATGAATAAATCTAATCATGTTCCTTAATAGGCCATTAAAGATGGTGATATAATATGGGGTGTAATTGGAACTGGTTGCAATCAGGATGGACATTTTGCCACCCCCATTACTGCACCCTCCGGAAAACAACAGGAAGAGTTGCTGAACTTGGTTTATGCAAAGTACAAAGTTGACCCCTCCATGGTGACATACATAGAAGCACATGGTACTGGTACTCCAGTGGGTGATCCTATAGAAGCTAACTCTCTAGGACACTTTATAGGACAAGCACGCAGTCAAGGCAAACCACCATGCTATGTTGGGTCAGTTAAAAGTAACATTGGTCATCTGGAAGCAGGTGCCGGTGTTGCAGGATTGATTAAAGTTCTCTTAATGATGAAATATAGAAAGATTCCAGCAACACTTCATTTCAGTAAAGCAAACAAGAAAATAAATTTTGCAGAGTTATGCTTGAAAGTGCCAACAGAATTTGTGGATTGGAAAGTGAATGAAGGTGACAGTCTGACTGCTTGTGTTAATTCATTTGGATTTGGTGGTACAAATGCTCATGCTATTGTAACCTCCTACAGCAAGCTGGATTTTCCAAGATGTTCACAGGAGAAGTCGCATATTATAGCACTTTCTGCAAAGACAAGGGAGTCGCTCATTCTCATGATAAAGCATCTAAAACGAAGTATACAACAAGATCAACCACCAACACTATCAGCACTAGCATACACATCAACGGTTCGAAGAACGCACTATCGCTATCGATTTGCAGTTGCCTCTTCAAATATTGGTGATGTATCCATCAAATTAGAGAAGGCAACAGATTCTATCCTTACAAAGAAGTTTGAAACAAAGCAGGAAATGAAAACCGTGTTTGTCTTCTGTGGCATGGGAACAGACTGGGATGGCATGGGATTGGACCTGTTGGAAAGTGAGCCTATCTTCAGAAGTACTATGCTGGATATTGATAATATTCTAAAAATCTACACGAAATGGTCTTTGATTGAAAAGCTGAAAGATGGAAACAATACCTCTACCTTAGTATCTCAACTCTCAGTATTTGCAATTCAAGTTGCTATAGCACAGTTGTGGATAACCTGGGGTATAAATCCAGATGCAATAGTTGGCCATTCAATGGGAGAAGTTGCTGCAGGCTATATATCAGGTAGATTCCCACTCTTGACAGCAGTAAAGATAATCTACAACAGAGCACATCTCTTAGAGAAAGTGTCTGGTGGGAAAATGCTTGTACTCGGCGAGTTGTCTCTAAAAGAGGTTGAAGATTATTGTCAAATGGTAGATGGTAAGGTGGAAATAGCAGCCATTAACAGCAGTACTTCATATACCATATCTGGAGACAGTGAAGCTATCATGAAGATTGATGAACTAATACAGAAGAATAACACAAACAAAACCAATACTGTTTTTCACCAAACTTTGAATGTCAATACAGCGTTTCACTCTCATCACACCCAGACAATATGCAAGGAATTCAGCGAGCAACTAAATGGTATGGAGGTAAATACAAGTGAAAATTCTATTCAACTTTACTCAACAGTTACAGGTCAAAAGGCTGTGAAAGATGATTTCACTACTGGTCAGTATTGGCAGAGAAATGTCAGAAGTAAAGTGATGTTTAAAGATGCAATGTTCGAAGCTATGCAATGTAAAGGTCACGCAGTTGTAGTGGAGATTGGTCCAATTCCTGCGTTACAAAGATATATAAAAGAAGCTGCTAGGAACATAAGTCATACTGTGCTGCCTTCTATGATGAGAGGAAAGGGGAAAATCACTATGCAGAACAGCCTATGTCAACTATATGAACTGGGAATGAAGATTAACTGGAAAGCTGTGTATTCAGATCACCCAGAAATGCCCATTAGTGTACCACAGTATCAATTCCAAAGAATGAGCCATTGGTATGAACCTGAAAAATCATATCAACGTCGAAATGATTTAGAAGAGCCGGGAAGGATGTCATATGCATTTGTTAAAAGAATACCAAACCAGAATATGACATTCAAGTGTGCAGTAACAGAAGCAAATCTTGCATTTGTTTATGACCATAAAGTTGGAGGTACTATCATTGTTCCTGGTGTAACATATGCTGAATTGGCTTTGGAGTCTTGTTTCCTTTCCATTGAAAATTCACATTCAAAGTATGGTGAAGTTAGTGTTGAATTCCTGACTCCTCTTGTTGTGACGAAAGAAGCAAAGGAAATAATGTTAACACTTCAAAGTACTTCTGAAGAATCATTTACATTTGAGGCAACCTGTGGAAATGACTTACATGCAAAAGGCCAGGTCTCGGTCAATGACAAAAAGAAACCTATGTGTGCATTGAACATAGAAGAAATACAAGCTCGTTGCTCTGAAGAAATAAACATTAAAAAAGTCTATAAGTACCTACGAAAACAAGGATTTGAATATGGACCAATGATACATGTCATGAAACAAGGATGGAGAAATAACACAGAAGCCTTTGCAATTATTGAAGTGGCTGAAGAAATAATAATGCAACTCTCATCTACAGTGCTACATCCAGTTATTATAGATGGAATGTTGCAGGTTGTTGGGATTGTCTTGGCCACTGACAGCGCTGCATCTAAAGCTGCTTTCCCAGTGTCAGTTGGTAAGCTGATCATTCGAGATAGACCTACTGGCAAACATTATATTTATACTCGGCTCATAAATAACTCAGATTTTCTTGCCATCTGCAGTACTGTTCTGCTGAATGAAAGTGGAGAAATAATAGCAGAGGCCCATGAAATCGTATTACAATTTCTTGATCAGGACAATGGTAGAATTGTTAGTCAACTTGCCTATGAAATGAAATGGTGTAGTATCAACAGAGATATAGATTCAAAGATTGGATATGGTAGCGATCCAGGAAAGCCAATGTGTGTTGTCTTTGCTGATACGCTATGTCTTGCAGACAAACTGAAGTCTTGTATTCACAATGAATCAGTTTTCCTGTATGACACAACAGACAATCTAACTGGACTGAATGGTGCAATTAAGATGTTTGAAGATTTCACTTCATCGGAAATGTCGTTTGATCATATCTTCTATTTCTGGGGCATTTTAGACAACAAAGATATTTACAACATGTATACTTCTATTCTGTCAGTATGCATTTCACTAAGAAATGTTATCAATATTCTCATCTCTAAAGGATTGAACATCCCGCTGACTGTTGTAACCTATGGCACTCAAATCAGTTCCAAAAGTGTGATAAATACGACTAAATACAATGGTTTGATTGGAGCTCCACTCTGGGGTATGGTACGATGTTTACTCCGTGAATCTACTTACAATACAGTGAAATTGGTTGATCTAAATGATGGAACTGAAAATGAAGTGTATACATTGGCCAACGTGTTATTTACTGGTGTTGCCAATGAATATCCAGAAATGTCCATTTGTGGTCCTGATGTATGCGTGAATAAGTTTCACCATATCAAAGCTGACAAAGAATACTTCAAGAAAAGGTTCAACAGAGCAGTGAATGAAATGGCAATAAAAGTAGTCTCCAGAAATTCGCACATCTTAAGATCTGTATACTGTGTAAAGATTCCTAGACACAAGAAGCTAACTAATACAACTGCACATGTACAGATAAGCGCTGTTTGTCTACATAATCCTAATTTGTTTCCAATAACTACTTTAGGATTGACTTCAAGTGATTTCCCACTATGGTCAGAAAGTAGCTTATCTGGATTTGATATGATGGGTTTGGATTTTATTGGTAAACTTACCAGTGATTTGTCTAGCTGTACCAATGTGCATGTATGCTGCCCTGCTGTTGTAGAATCATTCATTCAAGTGCCACCAGCATTGGTTGTTAAGTCATCTGATCTACCTGCCTGGATGAAAAATGTGCCATGCTTGTCATTAATGGTACTTGTTTGGAAAATACTTACATCCCAAACAGGTCAATCTATCCTGAATGTATTTGGCAAGAAAGAATATCCATTGTTGTTCAAGCTGCTTTTGATGTATGCAAAAGTCTGTGATGTCCGTGTAGACGATTCCAATAATCTCTCTAATGATGAAAATAAAGTGATGTCAAAGCCAATGACTATTGTATACTTGGGCCAGATGAGAGATGGATTTGTCACATCATTAGTGAACAACTTACCACATAGTTCTGTAGTAGTGAATGTCTACAACCCTGCAAAACCATCTTTTAAAGACATAGCAAGCAACAATATTAGAATCATTCGTCCAGATTTAAAGTTGCTTAATATCAAAACAACTGATGTATTCCAGCAAACAAATCTGACAACATTAATGCCTAAATTAGTGACGTGGTTGAAGAAATATTCACTGAAGGACCAACTGTCTACAGTTAATGTTCAAGATGTTACTTTTCATCAACTGAAGGAATATACAGAGATTCCTCTGACAAATAAGAACAATTTAATGGTTCTTTCAATGGACTCCCCTGGATTAGTTCAAGTCAATGTCGAAGATATGTTTTTAACTGATGCTTGCTATGTACTTGTTGGAGGATCAAGCGGTCTTGGCCTTGAATTGGCGAAATATCTGTCCAAGAATGGAGCGGGTTACTTAGCATTATTGTCTAGGCATCCAAAACCTATTTCACAGTCTCCATCATTACAAGAACTTGAGTCAAATGGAACCAAAGTAATGATTGTTCAAGCTGATATCACTGATAAGGCTGGTCTAGAACGAAGTCTAATATGTTTACGCCAGAAGCTTAAGACAGTTCCCATCAAAGGAGTGTTTCATGGAGCTGTTGTATTAGCTGATCGGCTATTGGTTAATATGTCTGATGATGAGTTCCAGACTGCTGTAAAACCCAAGATTCTTGGTGCATGGAACTTGCATGTTCTAACTAAAGATGATCCTTTAGACTACTTTGTACTCCACTCTTCAATGGCATCTGTGTTTGGTAATGCTGGGCAAAGTAACTATGGTGCTGGAAACTTTTTCCTTGACACCTTAGCCCATTACAGAAGAAGATTAAATTTACCGGCCCAATCCATCAATTGGAGTGTTTTGGATCTTGGAGTGATTGAAGCATCCCAGAAAGTTAAGCAAAATCTAACATCACATGGGTACTTGCCTCTTAAGATCGATGACATTTTGCGGTGTTTTAAATATGCAATGGTTCACAATCAAATTCAAATTACATTTGGGAACTTCCAGTGGTCTAAAATATCTCAGGATTTCCATCAAAAAGAATATGCCCATATCAGAGCCCGATTTGAGCAAGTTATTGAAAGAAGGAATCCATCTGGTAGCCAAAACAGTGTACGTCAGATGAAGAAAATTGGTGATGAAGATAAAGAAAGTGGAGATGCTTTCCGGAAATATGCACGTGAACTTGTTGGATCCATACTTGCACTAGAGGAAGATGAAATTCAAGATGATCTACCATTGCTGAGTATTGGAATTGATTCTATGTCTGCAATGACTCTTCAATCACATATCCGAAATGACACAGGTGTTGATATCCCATTGGTATTATTGTTTGAAAGTCAGACTACAGTATTATCAATTTCCAATAGTATTGCTGAAAAAGTTGAAACATCAGTTTCTAACCAAGATGTAGAACATCTAACTGGTAATTCTAAGTGGTTTGGAGAAGTTATGGAAGACCAGGCAAACAGATTTAAACGTTCCAGGAACCATTTATCTGATTGTACATCTAACATTTATGTTATTTTCGACCAAACAAGAATGGTTATCACTGGTGATGAGTGGCATTCAATTCTACGTCTTTTGATGCAGCAACATGCACAGCTAAGAACTAAATATTATGAAGATTCTAACTTCATATTTGGTGTAAGGTCGGAAGTTGATGAAGATTTCCATGTTGACATCCGAGAGCTTGAAGACGTAGATTGCAGTGAAACAGCTATCAATTGTCTCAAACAAGCAAGCAAAATTGCATTTGATCTTTGCAATGAATACCCATTTCGAACTTTCCTTATTAGATCTGGGGACCAAATTTCACATGTTTGCATTGTTATTCACCACATTGCTTGCGACCTTTTGTCATTAGCCAAACTTATGACTAGCCTAAAAAATGTCGCTACTGATGTGATAAATGGACAGATTCCACCTGTCGTTGAAACACGCAGAGAATTTCAGGATTATATTGATTATTTCCATCAATCACTTCAGTCTAAAGAGGATACATTATGTGAGTTTTGGGAAAAGCTGTTTGCTGCACCTATAGAAATGGGTGATCATGACTTCCCACTTTTCATAGAAGAGCCAACAAACTTTGAAGAAGAGAAGCTGTCTTGGAAAATAACAACATCAGAATCAAAGGCAATATCCAGATTTAGTGAACAGGCAGGTGTTACAGTTTTCCAGCTGCTTTCGTCACTTTATATGATACTTCTGCACAAGTACTCTGGCAGTCCAGATGTTGTTGTTTCATGTCAAGTTAACAGCCGCATTCACACACCCCAGTTTGCAGATGTTATAGGAGATTATGTGACTATTGTCCCAATAAGACAGTCATTCAAAGATAAGAAGACAACTCTGAGACAATGTGTATCAAGTACTGGTGATGTTATCAATGGATGTCTAGTGAACAGTATATATCCTTTTCAATCTATGAAAAAGATGATTAAGTGTAATGGCAAAGCAGAGTCGCTTCTTGGACATGAAGTAAACTGGCATGAACGCACAGCATTTTCGGATGTAAATTCTGATACTCTGATACGAATTCAAGAAGGAGTTTGTGGTACTAACAATGTGACACGTTTGTGGATAGTGAGAGATCTAACTTCCAATACATTTGCAGTTGACTTTGTATACAACTCGTCATGCATGTCACCTGCAGTTGCTGGATTGTTTTTTGAAGACTATAAACAATTGTTGTTTACTTCAATATCTCATTCAGATATGAAGATATCCGAAATGACACTACAGGGACTTCAAGAGACAGGACGTATGCAAAAGTCACTGAAGATTGCAAATAAAGAATACAGTACAGATTGTGATGGCGAACTTGCGAACAATACAGTAATAACAATTGAAAATGGCAAATACACTGCAATGTCTACAAAATTGGCTGAAACAATGTACAAACAAATGAATAATACAACAAAAGACCATGGACTTTCAGAGTGCCTGAGCATGTTGTTCACATCTACTGCCAAAAAGAATCCAGAAAAAGTCTGCATTATCAATGGTGGGACGAAAATAACATTCAATGAATTAGAGTCACATTCAAACTCAATTTCTGCAATGTTACAGAAGCATTTATCCACAAGCCACACTGACAAGACTGCCGTATTCGTCGAACTCGATGATCCTGTCAAGTATATTGCATGTGTTTTGGGGATTTGGAAACAAGGATGCTCATTTTATACAGGTGACTTGGATTCAGTAACTGATGTTGATGGTGATATACAAGCTATAATAACAACCCGTGACAGAACTAGTATCCATAGACGTGGAATCCCTGTACTATTTATTGAAGATGGCACTAATATGTCATTAAGTAAGAGAACAAGTACTGAAGATAATATAAGGATGATTTCTCCTGCAGCTTTGGTGGATGTTCGTAACATTGACGGAAAAGGAAAAAGATGCAATGTCTACCATTCAGCCTTTGTAAATAGAATTTCATGGATGTGGAACGAGTTCACCTTTCAACAAAATGAATCAATTTTTCTACATTTTGAAACCAACAACCTTGAGTGCTGGGTAATTCTTATGGCAGCCATTATCAAGACCACACCAGTGATTTTATACAGATCTATGATGAGTAATTCCAACAGTACTTCATATGCTGTTCAGCTAGCCAGTGTACACAATGTGACTCGTATAGCATGCATTCACGATAATGAAGTAGAGACTCTCATAGAATACCTTGAAAGAAACTCAAAACGTAAAGAAACGCTACAGCAACAAATTAAATACATTCACTGCACTTCAGATTGTACTACGATGAGTACATTGAGGTTTCTCGCCCTATCCTTGCCTACAGCTCGCATAATTAGGACATTTGCAGTTCCACCACTCATTGGAATTGCTCTGTATGGACAAATACAATGTCAAGATGCCAGCATTGAAAGTTATCTTGGTACCCCTATCACTAATGCAGTGGCATTCATATTGACCAAACACAAACAGCTAGTTTCTCCAGGTGAACGTGGTATTCTGTTTTTGGGAAGTAATTGTGAATATGATATACCAAGCTCAAGAAGAGAAAAGTATGGTGAATATTATGTGATCAATAGTGGAGTGCATGCTACATTGGGATTGGATGGCAGTATCTACGAGAGTCCAGAAGCGAATAATGGATGTCTGACAGGTCAGCGGAATGCAGATCTCATCACAGATGTGCTCAGACAAGGTACATTCAATTTAAAATTTATTCTTTGATATCTATGTAGGCATACATGCTGTGCCAGAAGAAATGTCTGTGGGTTATATTTTGTAATTATTGTATTTACACATTGTGTTGCCAGCAAACAATGGCATACACTGCAACACGTGCCTGCCTGCCAAAGGTGGTATAATGGATAGAATGGAGCCCTGTTTGATACTGGCCCGTGCCCTTGTGAGCACTATTACGGTACATTCTGGATTCTGTGAATATGATTTTCGCTTTGAACAGATGCAATAATAACAGAAAAATATTGCCTGAGCCGGATAAGTAATTTTTCACTCATGATGCTGTGCGTACATCGCATCATTTGTAAAAATAACTTTTATACAACATAAATGTCATAGCAAAGTCGTGGTGTTCCGTAAAATTATTGTACATAATATAATAATTATATTAACATATAATTTACTGGTATTAATGGTCACTTATGGGTTACTGTAGAGTGTAATTCATGAATGTTTTATAGTAGCGTAATTAATTAATATTTACCTCATATACTGATATAAGAATATCATATATTATGGGTAACCCTTACATTACTAAATTGTTCTTATATTTCTCATTCAAGGTATATATCTCGCCGTAACATCAACGTCGGGTTTGTGTAAAAGAACACTATTGAATGTACAAGATTCTGGCAAAGATGATGGAATTTGCTTAACTTGGTGCAAGTCCAATAAAAAAGAAAGACGGCTTCCGGTTCATAAGATTAATGCTATAAAGTTGTATGAAGTAAATAGTAAGTAGAAGATCAAGCAGACAATGAAATAATTTGAAGAGATGTTGTTACAAACAAAAAAGTGTTATTGAATTCTTTATGATGTCAATTGGACGAGGAGACTTCCTGGACTGTACATATACCTTAATAATGTGTTTCCCTGCCTTGTTTCCTATTTTTATAACACAGTATTGTGTAAAACAGAATAATAAAACGGGAAATTTAGACCATATTTATAAATGTTGTATCATGTTTATTTTTAGGAAAGGACGTCGTTGGCATTGAGACAGCTGAAAGGACCTATGCATTTGAGAGTTTTAATTCTTCTGATAACATGCATTCATGGATGACAGAGCTTGGAAAGCAGCTGAAAAGATTAAGAAGTGCAAAACTTTAATTTCTGTTATAATAATATCATCAGTGACTCGATTGTGAATTAATGCACAGTCAAGGCATTGATGATTTTCGTATCCGGGTGTAAAAGTGACTCAGTATTGTATTCGAATTAACCCTGGTATGTGAACTGACTACCAGTAGCAGTGTTCTCATATATATCTGAAATTGACAGTTGTATTTGTTCAACATGCAAAAATCGAAAACATAATTATTTTTGTTTTGCAATAAATAAATGTATACCAATGATGCTAAGTTGCATTCAAATATTACGATACATTCAACTTGTATCTTGACAGTTGTAATACGGGCACCAACTATGGAAACACTAATGAATAGATGTTCATTGATTCACTCTCTGCTAGTTTCTATTCATTCTGTTCATGCATTTTTTCAAAGTAAATAGATAATATACTGCCTCGCCGCAATTAACGTTTAACGAAATTATGGAAATTTCAGCATATCTTGTTGAAACGCAAGGAGTAAAATGGATCAGACTTTGAAATTTGAGCTAACAGTATTAGAGTAAGAAATAAGAGGTGATGGTATATTTATTTTTGTGATTTAAT